TTTTTTTTTTACTTTTTTCACAATTTTTCAACTTTGGCGATGTTTTTACGCATTATTTTATAAAGTGACCATACTAATCCTGAATTGATTCAAAAATTACGTTTAATAATGAGCAAAACGAAGGTTTATTAAAAAAAAGTCAGTTGGAACTTGACTAACTAAGTTATTCAGCCTTTCTGAAAACGAATATTCGTATTACTCATAATTAAACGCAATTTTTCAATCAATTTAGGATTAGCATGATTTTATGCATAAAAACAAAATTGAAAAATTGTGAAAAGAGTTTAAAAAAAATGTGTTTGCTGGGCATATATACGCAGATATTTTAAGGCTCATAAATTTAAATATATGTACATCATTTGAAAGGCCCAAGTTTCTTCCTTCTTAAATGAGTGAGAAACTCGGTTGATAGTCAACAATTACAGGCTTTTAAGTGCACTATGGTACAAAAAACCGGATTTTTAACCGCAAACCAATGTATTAGGGTGTTTGGCAAATTTCATATTTCGAATTACTCAGCAAGACCTACAAAAATAATAACATCACTTCCAAGGCGTTTCGGGAAATTTCTGCTGTGTGAAAGGAAATAAAAATGAATCGAAATATGGATACACGTCATGGCATGTATCTATTTATAAGCTGATAGTCCATATGATTGAAGTCCATGTGAATCTGCTTCTCTATTGCTAAGTATTAATATTTTGCAATTCATATTGATTTATTAAATTCAATTCAATACAATCAAAACGAATATTTCATGTACCGTTTTTAACTTGAATGTGATCTTAATAATAGCCTCCAGGTCAAGACGAAGGCGCTGAACTGATCCTTTTTCTTATCTTTTTAACTAATATTAAACACGCAAAAGAATTTGTTTTAGTTAAAAATGAATTAAATACTTTAGTTCATTTTTGAGTGAACTTAGATAAAAGTAAAAGTTTTCATTAAATAAATTAAATTCATTAAATTTGCACATTTCAGTCCTTTCTTTTTAAAATTTTATAAAAGTAATAATTAACGCTTAAAATTCCTCATTCGCTCATTCCATCTCAAATCACTCAGGCCGGGGGAAAGTGAATTTAAGTTTGCGATAAAACTCACAGGAATTGTTCCTTGAAAAATTTAAGGAGACACGTATTTTTTCTTTTTGCTCAGAAATGCGAATTTTTCGAATAATGTATTTGTTTCTTTTTGAGTACGAACGCTTATTTTTTCCTCTCTTAATAGCAACTTTTGATAAAATCGCTTATAACTGCCGCAAAAAAACAAGGATTTTAACGATTTTTTTTTTAAATTGCAGATATTGATCTACTGAATCGATCTAGTGAACTAAACATCAGTAATTGTTTATTAATAATTAATTATTGTTTATAGTATAAACTATTTTCAGTACGAGTAGCAATGTGCTAAAATTCGTCATTTTCGAGTTATGATTTTTTTTCTGAAAATTCACTTATATGATGCTAGCAGATTTTCGTGCCAGTTGAGGGCACAAAAATTGTTGGCCATTTTGACAAAATTTCCACGCTGGAAATTTTTTGAAGTTGCCCGATCAGAGCCAAAAGTTTTTCCCAATTTGGCTATAATTTTACCCAATTGGGGCCCAATTAGCGATTTGCCCAATCTACCGAAGATTTCCCCAACCAGTGCTCACAATTTGCTCAAAGTGAACATGCATACGCAATTAAAACGTTTTTATCGATAAAATCACACATACACACATCAAAATTCCCTACGAAAAAAAATATTTTTTAATTTTTTTCTTGAAAAATTTTCCACATACAAATTTTTTGATAAAAAAAATTAGTTTTTGAAAATATGCCATTTCAAAAAAAAATTGGAAAAAATCACAATGGTAGCTCTGAGTATTGCGCAATATTTAAGTATAATGTTATGGGGTGCACTCTACAATAATTTGAGTTATGAATTTTTTTTACACCGAAGTTGAGTAAAATGAGTACATTAACAATTTACAAATTTTTTAAACTTTTTTAGAATTTTTTTGAATATGCAGTTTTATAGCCCATTAAATTTTAGTATAATAAAGTGTAAGTTTTAAGCGATTGCAAAACTACCCTTATTTTTTTTTAAATTTTCTTTGAAAACGGTTTTAGGCATTTTCATCGATAAGGAAAAAGTCCAAGAAGCCGTGAGCATAAACAATATTAAAAATCAACGCAATTTTGCAGTAGCTTAACACTTGCACTTTATTATACTCAAATTTAATGGGCTATAAAACTGCATATTCAAAAAAATTCTAAAAAAGTTTAAAAAATTTGTAAATTGGTAATGTACTCATTTTACTCAACTTCGGTGTAAAAAAAATTCATAACTCAAATTATTGTAGAGTGCACCCCATAACATTATACTTAAATATTGCGCAATACTCAGAGCTACCATTGTGATTTTTCCAATTTTTTTTTTTGATGGCATATTTTCAAAAACTAATCTTTTTTATCAAAAAATTTGTATGTGGAAAATTTTTCAAGAAAAAAATTAAAAAATATTTTTTTTTCGTAGGGAATTTTGATGTGTGTATGTGTGATTTTATCGATAAAAACGTTTTAATTGCGTATGCATGTTCACTTTGAGCAAATTGTGAACACTGGTTGGGGAAATCTTCGGTAGATTGGGCAAATCGCTAATTGGGCCCCAATTGGGTAAAAATTATAGCCAAATTGGGAAAAACTTTTGGCTCTGATCGGGCAACTTCAAAAAATTTCCAGCGTGGAAATTTTGTCAAAATGGCCAACAATTTTTGTGCCCTCAACTGGCACGAAAATCTGCTAGCATCATATAAGTGAATTTTCAGAAAAACAATCATAACTCGAAAATGACGAATTTTAGCATATTGCTGCTCGTACTGAAAATAGTTTATACTATTCCCTAATAACCAAAAAAGTTTGAGAAAAAAAAAGATGTGGCAATTTGAAAAAAATCAATTTGAAAAAAAATTTTTTTTTGTTTATAAACAATAATTAATTATTAATAAACAATTACTGATGTTTAGTTCACTAGATCGATTCAGTAGATCAATATCTGCAATTTAAAAAAAAAAATCGTTAAAATCCTTGCTTTTTTGCGGCAGTTATAAGCGATTTCATCAAAAGTTGCTATTAAGAGAGGAAAAAATAAGCGTTCGTACTCAAAAAGAAAAAATACATTATTCGAAAAATTCGCATTTCTGAGCAAAAAGAAAAAATACGTGTCTCCTTAAATTGTTCAAGGAAAAATCCCTGTGAGTTTTATCGCAAACTTAAATTCACTTTCCCCCGTCCTGGGTGATTTGAGATGGAATGAGCCTAAATACATGGTTCATTTACTTATTAAATATTCTTAATTTTTGTCTATAGTTTGGGTTGTTGATTGATAATTGAAATTAATCAAATAAAACAAGGCATGAATAAATCGTTTCGTACTTGGTACTAGTCTGGTGATTTTCGAACTAGTTCGGTTTCAGTCAGGAAATTCTAGTTGTAAACTAGTATTTTTCCTGACTAGTTTGGTGTTTCACTTCAGGGAACTGATTATGATGTTGATGACGTTGGTAGCCTCATACGGGTACTAATGGGGATCAATTAGTCTCGACTCATCCCTTACGCGTAGTCTCTTCATAGGACATGCTCGAACAAAAGCGAACAGTTCATTCTATATAAAGAGATCAAAAGTGGTATTAGTCGCATGTCCTTTGCGATTGCTCCCGGAGTCATCCCGGATTAGTCGCATTTTTTGCAGGGTAACCCTGCAAAAAGTGGGACTAGGTTAAGTACTTGTACAGGACCACGCTACCTTGTAACCAACACTAGTAACCGAAATGGTCCAAATATATGGAGAAAGTATGGTTACATTAACATTGCGATGTATTTGGACCTGACCACCTCTGGTCTAACACTGCATAACATGGGACCACTTCTGGTCCACCACTGCATAACATGGGACCACCTAGACAACTACTCCATTTGGACCATGGCACATTCGGCAACCGAATCATATTGCCGATCGGCCACGAAGGCATATATCAACACATACATTAGTTTTTTTACGTTTGAAGTGGTCCAGGTCAGCATAACAAGTTACTAGTATGAAACCTGGTCCTTTTGCTCAAACTTTAAAACTACGACCCAGTGGACCACCTGGTCCTCAAATTTTTGCAGGGAAGTTACTACGCACACACACATACACACTTACACACAATGATGTCTGGAATTTCGTTACCCTACGGAGCTAGTAACATGACGAACTACCTCATGGCCAAAATCACTCAAGCGTGCGACGCTTCGATGAAGAAAAAATACCCGACCAGCCGACGTGCACCAGTTTATTGGTGGAATGAGCAAATAGCGGACTTGCGACTGC